ACAAAGGTATCATTTCCTCTACTGTCCACAGACCTCCAGGATGGTAGAGAGAGGATGAATGGAACACTTAATGTGCTGAGAAATGAACAAAAAAAAGGCAATAATAGGAGAAGGGGTTAAATGGACCCGTGCTCTACCAGCCCTCTAAGCGACAACCCTTTGAACTCATGACAGGATGAGCAATGACACTCTTCCAGGACCTAATCATAGGGGGAGCAGAACTGACTAACAGCAAGGGACAAGTCTGGGATTACATGAAATCCCTCTCTAAGCATGTACACATACTTCATGGACAGGCACAAACCAGCAGCTTACCAAGGACTGGAAGTCTGAGGGGACACCCAGGATAAACAAATGCCAGCCCAAGGATCAAAGATCCTGGTAAAAGTAATCCCAGACAAGGGAGCCTCACCACCCAAAGTGGGACAGACCTCATGAGGTAATATTAACAGGTAACAGTGCACTTGGTATATAAAAGAGTATATAATAGTTAATGGGGTGTCTGTCCAGCTTGCTAGTCTGGTATGCTCTCTCTTTCTCCCTCTTGGAGGTTTTGGAATATCCTCATCTGTGCACACCAACAAACAGCAGGAACAGGATCCTCAACCCCAGGACAACAACCGGGACAGATTAAAGTCACGTGTAAATATATGCAATGCAGTTGCACAGTAAAGACTGTAATTGAGAACATTGCTGAAACTAATGCGAGTGTGAAAATGCTAATCCTCTGTGGGTTCCTCTTACTTTTGATCCCATCGGAGGCTGTTAGGCGAGAGGACAGGAAGAATTTGAACGTTAATACGTTTTCATATTTATCACGTGTATGCTAGGGAGCATGATGTTTCCAATTGCTGGATCTGTACCCATATCCCCACACACACTAAGGGAGGGCTACCAATGCAACTTATCTTCTTTAAAGCTTCAGAATTAGCCGAATGGGTATTACGACAGAATAGTTCAAAACGGAGATAGAGACAGGCATCCTACCAGTAGTGCAAAGTATTTAGTAAATACTGACAGAGATAGGGCACAATGGAAATCAGCAGGGTGTAACCTGAACACCTTTACAGGACGATACCAACCCAGATACACAACCTTACGACCACCGTCCTTCATTACATTGACTAACACATTAGGGATAGGGAGACCTGACGGCTTGATCTGCCTAACAAGAATTGAAAACCAAAAAGAGGAGGAACACCCATGAAATTTAGCAACTGCGCCCAGAGTTAGAATACTTAGAATATCCTTTCCCAGGACTCATCAGGGCACTCGTCCTGACCATGGGATCCCTAAACGTGTCTCTCCTCATGCGCAGAGGCCCCAGCCTCCTGACCTTCAGGAACCTCACGTGTAACAGAACGTTCCAGCAATGCTGGTACCCCAAGATTATTATCCTATTCATCCCGTACAACGACACCTACTTTGTGTGTGGACACAGAGCCTATGCCTGGCTACTCCCAACCTGGCCAGGGCCTGTTGCTTAGCCTATGCGGTACTATTCATAGGCTACACAGCATCCCTCCTGCAGATGATGCCACAACAATACAAGCATGCAATTTCAGGAGCAGACAGGCTCCTTTCCATATTCTTACCCTAGTACGGCACAGACAAGTTCTCCAGAGAATCTATCAATTTGGGTAGAGTCTTAGAGCAAAGGGCCAATGACACCCCATGAGCTTTGAGCAACATAAATACAGACGTGGTCGCTGTACGAACTATGGCACTGCAAAACCGAATTGCTCTCAACATGACACTAGCCGAGACAGGAGGAACAGGTGCGCTCATTGGAAGAGTGCTGCAAGTACATCCCCAATAACTCGGAAGCAAATACTGATCTGGCCAACCATATCCAAAAAGAAATGAATAAACTCAAACAACCTGCCTCTTCGACCCTATGGAGTTGGGTAGAAGTGTGGCTGGGATCCCTTGGGACGTCCATTGTACAGGGAATAGTAATGTTTGTTGTAGCACTGTTCCTATGTTACATTGTTTTTGTCTTGTAAAATGCATTATGACCACAATAATGAAGAAGATGACTGCAGAAGACCTTGGGCCAAGAGGGTGGGCCCTACAATGCACCATCAAGCCAACAGACGACTAGTGGAACGGCAAAGAACACCTCATCGAACAACAGCAAGAAGCTCATGGATGCAACATCACTTGAAGAATGCTCTTGAAATTTGATTTGGACTTGTGAATTTTGATTTGGACTGCTTGAATTAATGATGGCCCTGCAGCCACAATTTGGCCTAGGTCCTAAGTGAGGGATCTGTAGGAGTGACCTGTACCTGAACTCACTAAGTGGCCTATGCCTGCTTACAAGATGGCAGGCAGAAGCTAAGCAAAACTAAGCAGCCTGCTCACACAGTAAAATACAATGATACCTTTGGACAGAACTGCTCGAAGGTCAGTAAAAGAACGCTATATGTTTCCATCCGAGACAGTTCTGGTAAAAGGATGCCTTAGGACAGATAAATGACCAATTCCAGCCTCATTAATGAAAGGATGATTGGCCTAGTAAATGAATACCATCAGGTGCTAGAGTAGGTCCTCTAGCTGTTATCCTTGCAGCTGCTTAAGTTATTTCGTAGTAAATAGTTGTCTCTTTGAAGCTCCCAGCAATAGTAAATAGTTTCTAGCTAAAAATCCTCTAATCATGGAAGTTTGTTTCAATACACAAACAGGACATAATACAAGCCTTAAAAAAAACATTTAAGCTTAGATGTAAAAGGTTAACTAGCCTTAGGAGACACCTTCTCATGCCCTGAATAAGATAGATTGGACACAACCCATAAATTACAAAATCCTGACAGAAGTAGTTGCATAACGTTACACTTTGTAACAGAAGTTAACTTTACAGCAATTAGTTAAAAATAACTGACATTTTATTTTTACGTTACGTAATTGGGACAGTGGGAAAATAAAAGCAGTAACTGAATATGATAAAAGACAGCACCAAAATACAGTGGGACATAGAATTCGAGCTGTCCCTATAGATAAACAAGCCTGAGAAAGACCCAAAAGGAGTACAGCCATTAAATTTCTTGGAACGCAAAAGGAGTAGGATGCTTAGGAAGATCACAAGGCCTAGAGATTACAATGTATAGCTAATACCAGGAGATCATGGGAACCTGGGGCTGGCCATGGAAATGCCCATTATTAATTAGGTGTCCGGATTAGGGTGAAGGACAGTAACTACATTGTATTTTATTACTGTAACCCAAAATGTATAAAAATGCTGTATTTCTTTGTAAATGCAGACGGTGTGCCATTGATCTATCTTCTGAAGCCAGATTTGGGGAAGATCCTTTGGCCCTCTCCCTGTATAAACCAGTTTTTGCTTGAATAAACATTTTCCACTTGCCTGAATCCTGCCTGCCTCCGGAGTCTTTGGCCCAAATCAGAAAAAACATTCCTACAATGCCATCTACTTCTAACTTGCAGAAAGCTTAAGGAGAGCAAATACAAACTAAATAATACATTTTAAAATGAGTACAAAGAGCCAGAGATACAAGAGTCATAAGAGCATGGAAACAGACCCTTCAGCCCAACTTGTCCATGTCGACCAGGTTTCCTAAATTGAACTAGTCCCATTTGCCTGCATTTGGCCAATACTCCTCTAAATCTTTCCTGTCCATGTCCCTGTCCAAACATCTCTTAAATGTTGCAATTGTACTCACCTCTACTATTTTCTCTGGCAGCTCATCCCATATACACACCACCCTGTGTGAAAATGTTGCCCCTCAGGTCCCTTTAAAATCTTTCCCCCCTCACCTTAAACCTATGCCCTCTAGTTTTGGGCTCCCCTGCCCTGCGGAAGAGACCTTGACTATTTACCCTATCCATGCCCTTCATGATTTTATACACCTTTATAAAGGTCATACCTCAACCTCCTACACTCCAGGCAAAGTCGTCCCAGCCTATCCAGCCTCTCCTTATAACTCAAACCCTCCAGTCTCAGTAACTTACAATGACGTATAGACATCATCGAAGGCTGTAGGATCAGCTGAGAATGCTTTTAAAAACAAAACGGAGGAAATTCTTGCTTTTAGTCATAGGGGCGCAGTGTAAAAGCCAGGTAGCTATGCTGAAAATTTAAGACCTTGGTTACACTGCAACCATTGGATTCAATTTTGAAAACCACATTTAAGGAACGTCAGAGCTTCAGAGAGGGGGCAGAAGATATCTCTGAATTTATACTGGCAGAGGGGTGGATTGAAACGAGAATCAAAACAGAAACTGCCAAAGAAACTCAACAGGTCTGGAAGCATCTGCAAAGAAGACTCTTCAAAACTGAAGATTCAGGAGAAAAGCTGGGATTGTTCCACTCAGAGCAGAAAGATTAAAAAAGGAGGTTTGGTACATGTTAAAAACCTTAAAGAGCTTTGATAGACTAAGTAAGAAGAAACTATTTCCAGCAGCAAAAGCACTAGTGGCCAGAGGGAACAGAATTAAGGTACAAATCAAAAAAGAGAGGCAACAGGAGGAACCATCTCCTTAAAACGAGCAGTTGTAATATTTAATGTATTGCTTTAAAAGGGCAGTAGAAGCAGTCTAAATACCAACATTAAAAGGAGGATTGAATAAGGTTATTTGGATAGTTAGATGTAAGAACTGGGACAGGAGCAATGAGCTGAACACCTCCTAGACAGCGTCAGTTTATGATCCAATGAGAAAGGACTCAGAAACAGAGCACATATAAACAATATCATGACCCTCAGCTCTTCGGTTCCTCTTCATGAAACCATAAATTGTTGGAACTTAGATCCTACATTACGTTACTGTTTCTGTACCCAAGAATACATATTTCTAAATTAACAAAATATCACCTGACACTTTTGTGCTTAGATAGCAATGGCACTCAAAAAGAGAAAAGAGATTTCCTTTGTGAAGTTCTAATGCAGGACTGATGATTTGCAAGTGTCCAGGCTACTTACAATGACTTTGCTTGGTGCAAGACAACACATTAAAAAGTTTACATGACAGTTCTTCCTTACCTTGCCCAGATTTCTTTTTAAGAAGAGAAGAACATTGTGGATTGGTGGCCATGTCTAGCGGCACTTTATTCTCATTGTTTTTCAGATCTATCCTGGCACCTAAAGATAAGAGAAATAATTATACATGAGGTTAGGGTTTTTTCCCCAAATGGCTGTTGAAATAGTTAAAGCTTGATATCAAAGCTCAAACGATTCAACAGTTTCAGCTGACAGTGTGAATAGATGCAGCATTAGCAGGAATGGATCTCTCAGGGTAAAAGTTCAATGTATAAATACTTGGATGGCCGCACTTATGATACGAGTTGTCCTGTGTTTTGTACTTGGACAGCAAATGACCACATCTTTCTTGTCCTGTCATCAGTCACCAACACTAAGATATGCCACTGCCTCAAAGATCATCCACTAGATTTCAGTAAAATGATGCATGACCATGGTACTGAAATGTAATACTTCCATATATATATATTTTTGGAGAAGGAATAGGTATTAAATATTGCCAATCCAATAGAAAATACAAAGGCAGTTTGACTTCAAATTGCCATCACAGATGTGTCTGAAGTTTTAACAAATTGAATTTTAACCCATCTTTGAAAGAGGTGTGCTATTATGCCCCTCATGGCAATGTGGACCCACCACACTGAGAATCCGTATTAATTGAAATTAAGGATAAGAACTAATTCAGACAGTTGATTTCAGTTTTAACAACACCGACGTATGCCCAAAGAAAGGATGGTGCTTTGGGATCCCCATAGACTGAGCTCTCAACTACTTTTGTTTAGGTCCACGAGAAACATTACTTCAATGGAATGACAACTAAACTAGTAACCCTTCCAAGTTGACAATTGGCAAATTAAACATTTGCGATATTTGAATTATTAGCTGCATCCATAAATTTCTTTAGATATCTTAATGAAGTCAATCCTACACTCAAATTCACCTCTGAAATGTCACAAGCTCCTTTTCTTGACATAATACAGTATGGAGCTGGAGGAACACAGCAGGCCAGGCAGCATTAGAGCAGGAAAGTTGATGTTTTGGATCGGGACGAACTATCAGCTCTATTTGACACAAGGGTATCTCAATTACTGTCTTCCTGAAGTCTACCTTCACTGGCCAATATATGCACTGGAATTCCGACAGTTTCACACACTTCAAAATTGGTTTTATAGCAGCCTTGTAAACATGGGCTGAACCACTTGCTCCATGAGTGTAAGCATGGAAATACGGTGGTGTGTTGAAGTGGCAGGCAGCTAGAAGCTCGGGGTCATTCTGGCGGACTAAAGGCTGTCACTTTTGGTCCAGAAAAGTGCCCAGTCCACGTCAGAAGGGGAAGGAACCTCAAAGGATTGAGCAACAGGTGAAGATAGATGTTTTGTGCTGTTACTGTGCAGAAGCATCATGAGTATTGTTTGCCATGAACAGGTCACTGCCATCAAGCCAAAAAGACATTTCAAGCATCACATGAATGAGTAATGCAGTATATGAATTTCAATGCCAGTGAGATACTAGGTACGCAGGCTGTATATCCCAAAGTTCGGCAAACAACACATTCCTTTAATGGTTTGCAACAAGCTGCGCCCAACCAGCCCGTGGTTTGCAAATCTCACAACAGTTAATTGTCATTCTGCAATGGACATTAACAACCCTGAGTGTTCTAAGAATTAAGTGGACAAATTTAGAATGGTCACACTCAACAATATGGAATACACTGTGTGCCCATTTCAACTCAACAAAAATCAACAATTTAACAACTCAAACATCCTGGAACTCCCTTCCTAACAGTACTGTGGTGCACCTACACCGAAAGGGACTGCTGCGGTTTAAGAAGGCAGCTCACCACTGCCTTCTCCAAAGTAATTAGAAAACAACATTAAATGCTAGCTCAACAAGTGAAACCCACATCTCGAATGAATAAAATGGTGACAGCCACACACTGGTTCATTTTTCAGGGCAAGACCTTAATGAATTAGAGTCAACTTGCCTGGTTTCAACCTTAAAATTTAGCATTATCTATCAATCATAATTTAACGAGTGCATTCTCTACGGCAACACTTCTGTCAGAGTCTACTTGCCAACCAGTCAGCATCTCATACGACATAAAAAGCAGTGTTCCTTTTGCATTGGTATTTTTTGTAAATTGTCCAAGTAAGTGCAAAGCACAAAGTTTCCACAGAATGATTCTTTTTTAAGCAATACACAAGTTATGTTCTGAATCAAGTCAGTGGAATTGGTGCATCTCATTATATTTAGTAACTGAATCAAACACATGAAGATTGTATCATATGGACAGAACCCCTCCCATTAATGCGCATGCTGAAATATCAGCAATTACAATTTTCAGAGACCATCTGAAAGAAGAAATAACTAATGCTTCTTACAGTCATATCCTCCCCATGTCAAAAACGTATCTTGGTCGGAAGGGTTAACAGGAGGAGAAAGAAAGTAAATGTTTAGATGCTAATAATGCTCCATCACCAAGAAATCCAAACTTAATAACACTCATGTAAGTTAGATCAAGTTCTAGAACATTGAAAAAGAACTGCATAAGGTCAACAATCCATGTGCTGTCATAACCAGTTGTCCAGGTCTGGTTTTCTGCTTTTCCTGTGATATATGTACCCACCTCCTATTTACAATTATGTACTATCATAAACGTGTACTTTTTCAGCCACCAATTCTTAACATTAAAATTTATAACAAAAACACAAATTTAACATGCTGTAATTACTCCCTCCAACCAGAGGTAACAGGACCTCAGTTTAGAATTCAACACTTTAGCCCGCATGCAAGAAATCCCCTACAGCAATCATCACCACTTCTTTGATTCTTAAGTAGATATTTCAGTGCAAATACAAATACATGATTAAACAATGTACAAAAATGACAAAACAAGGATTTCAACCACAAAAAAAGTAGTACACTGAAATACTTTGATCCAGTTATCCGATTACCCTCTTAATGCTGATTCATCTGAAAAGTACACTTAGTTTACACCTTTCCTCAGTGCAATGCTGTAGGGTTGACCAAGTAAATGTGAGATTTTTTTTCTGGAGTTGGTTTTAGGACAAAACATTGTGGCTCAAAAACTGCAACATTTAACTCATTGTGTTTTGTAACCTGTCAAAATAGAATTTCAGCTCCTGACCACTGGGTTACTATTACAATCACAAAGCATCCGATTCCTGTTTCATAAGCTGAACTAGAAAAACTGAGTCTATTAACATAGAAGATTACTTCAACACAAAACTGCCATAATTTTGAGAGATTCTCTAAAATAAAGTGATTATAGCCTTCTTAATCCATCAAATTAAGTGGGGAAATCTCATTTCACAATGTTCCACTATTTATAATATATTCCACTATCGGAGTAAAATCTTGCTATTAGTGGTATCTTCCTCTTATCTGATAAATTCACAGAATCAGAGAATCCCTGTAATGTTAAAGTTGGACATTTGGCCCATCCAGTCCACACCAATCCTCTGGAGAGCATCCCACCCAGACCACCCCACCCCGAGGTTTACTGATTTGACTGCAGGCTCCCCAACGCTAAAAAAATCTTGTGCTAGCCTTGGAGGGGTTCCAGAACCATAAGCCTAGGAATGAAGAGCTTGTCATACGAGCAGCGAAGAACTCTGGGTCTGTACTGCATAGAGTTTTGAAGGATGAGAGGGACCAGACTGAACTTTAGAGAATGCCGAGAGGTCCGGACAGACTGACCACATTTCCACTACTGAGAGAGACTAGGCCTAAGGACATAGCCTCAGACTGAAGAGATGACCCTTTAGAACAGAGATAAGGAGGAATTTCTTCATCCAAAGAGTGGTGAAACTGTGGAACTTAGTGCAACAGAAGACTGTGGAGGCCAAGACATGGAGTGTATTTCAGACAGCGATAGATAGGCTCTTGATTAGTAAGGGGGTCAAAGGTTACAGGGAGAAGGCAGGAGAATGGGATTGAGTAACATATCAGCCATGATCGAATGGCAGAGAAGACTCAATAATCTGAACGGACTAATTCTGCTCCTGTACCTTCGGGTCTTATAGAGAAGATGCCTGACTCTAACTTGCCAGTGGAACAGCCACCTTACTGTCTGGAGAATAGGAGAGGGTAGTGGTTGTGCACGTGTGGCAGATCTGAAAGCCCTGCAGTTAATAGCATGTGCAAAATTCTTACAGATTCTGTCCTCTGGTGTCAACCAAAAGATGGCCTCTTCATTCCCAGGCTTAATCTGTTTTAAGACCTTTGCCCAAATCTCCAGATAGACAAATGTGAGACGTTATACCAGTGTGCTGATCTCAAGTTTCTTTTGCTTTGATGTTGATACAGAATAAAATTGGACAGTGAGATAATAGATAATTGATCTACCAAAATTGCCATCTATTTCATCCCCATCTACATTAGTCATGCTACAATAAACTAATCGTCAATCTCCCTTAAAAACAAGAAGCTAATGTCATCTTTTCTCATTCTCTGCTGAACTTGCATTTTAGTTGATTAGCGGGGTCAAAAATCAATTCATCTATTTCCAGAAATAGAGAGTATAAATAAGTATTCATTGTGATTCCACAAAGACTTAATTATCACTATCATTTCCATTCCAAAAATCCAGATTTTGCTTTGAAGAAGAATGATCAATTTGTATTTGATTATTTGAAGGAAATCTAGGACACTGCAGTCCTTAACTGTTCAGACAAACCAGTTGACAACTGAATCAAACAACAACCATTTGTACCAGATATGAGCTTGCACAAATTCATTCTACACGTCAGGGAGAGAAACACAGATAAGCAAAGCTAACTTGTGAAAGGGCACAAGAGTAGGATTAAAGTAGTTATTTTTAAATTAAATTACATTATATGTTGACATTAAAGTTAATAAAATTAAAACACTGCATGCAAAGTTAAAAGATTACCTTTCATGAGCAACAGCTCTAGAATATCTTCATATCCCTTCCATGCAGCAGCATGCACAACGGTGTCTCCCAGTTTGTTCTGTATAAATGCAACACAGCCCAACATTTACACTGGTATATATTGTTATAAAAGGTACACAATACAGAATATTAATTTGTAATTGCAACAACTGATCACATATTTAAAATATTCTTTAAAAAGGTATATTGTTGTTAAACAAAGAACACAGACTTGAAGTACTGATAATTTGCTATGGCAAGTCAGATTTCATTCCATGGAGATATTAAGCCTCCCTGAAGGGAGGAACAATTCCTTCCACACTCAAGATCGAGGATTGATCGTTCAGGGATTAATTGCTGGGACTTCTAAAAACAATAATAATCTTGGTTGCGAAACAATGGCTAATAAGCTTAGCTACGCAAGACATGAGTAACCCTCTAAATTCTTTGGGTTATACAACTGTTATACATAGGGGTCATGTCATTCAGCCTGGAAGTAGTATCTCTCTCCATTTCTCTTAACATTACATCCAAGTTCTGAACTGTATTGCGCTGAGAAAATGTATCCATCCTTCAGCAAAGAAGCTGTTGGCTTTAATGCAACAGTTATTCCAGGAAAAGGAAATGTATCAACCATAATAGAAAAGCAATGGCTTCAGAGAAAAACAAAATACCTGGATGCAGTCAGTGAAGTGTTATTATGAAATATTTTTATCTGCATTTAACAATGACCAGGTTTGACATTCAATAAACTGTAAAGTTGTGGAGGCTTTTGTGGAAACCATGCAAGTTTGCCTATATCAATGGCAAATAGGAAGTAACAGTTGTAACCTCTGGGAAAATTAGATCTTCCTAAAGAACAGTGATGCTTCTTTACAGAAAAACACAGAACTACCTAAAGTGAACACTTGCTTTTTGATAGGATCTTAACTTAGTGGTATCATTTCCATTGTGATTACTTGCCACGTTTCAGGAATATGGCATTAAAAAAAGGACACAACAATTCAGCCCTGCAAGCCAGGTCTGCAATTCAACTAGAACAAAGCCGATATTCTCTATCAAAGCCTGTTCCTATGTCTCTTAATATCATTCATACTTACAAATCCATCAAGTTTCTTACTGAATCAGTAACTGATCCTACACAGCCTAAGGTAGAGAATGCCAAAAATTCATTACTCTCTGGTTGAAGAAATTCCTCATCGTATTCCTACCTCTTATCCTGAATCTGTGTCCCTTGGTTCTAGACCAACAAGCAGGGGAACAGTCCATCCTGCACTTATGCAGTCAAGCCCTGTAAGAATTTTGTCTACTTCAATGAGATCATCTCTCTTCTTTGAAACTCTCGAGAATATAGATCCAGTTTCCTAAGTCTCTCCTCACAGGCAATTTAGCCAACCGAGGGATCAGTGGTGGATCCTTCAGCGCACGCCCTCTATGGTATATTTACCTTGAGTACATTCTAAATCGACTTTTCCCTGTTCTTTTTCCAACATTCTTGCAGTCAAAATACTTTGTAAATCATGAGGTAAATCATCGTTCATACTTTTAATCTGCCTTTATGCAGTCAATGTCATTTTTAAAGCTTTTTTTTTTTCATCAGAGAAAAAAAAAAATTAGACAAATGGTCCAGGTCTGCCTGAAACTTTTAGAAGGGCATGTGGGGATCTCAATTGGGTAACAGGCAAAAAAAGGTCAGTTTCCCAAAGGCAGGTTAAAGTTTCGCTATCAACTTCTCACAACTTGTCAGGCTGATCAGGTGCCCACCCTTCATGGCTAGAACCCTGTTTTGTAGTCATTAGCATGCATAAGTATGCATCAACACAAAACCTGCCAAAATTACACTCACAGACACAATTTTATTGGCCAGAACTGGGAATCTTGTGTGTTCACAAATTCAAAACATATATGGGCACAAACATGATGGTGTACACATTTTTCACCAAGCTTTGAAAGTATAAGCCTCTTCAGTTACATGAGCCCTTCAAAACCAAGCCATTTCTTTGCACAAATGCCAACTGTCAGTTCCTGGGTTGTGAACAGGCTCTGTTCTAGAGTCTGCTCACAAGTCAATTGTATGCAAGTCAGAAAACAATAAAGGACAATGAAAAGCAGCCATTTGTAACTACTGGAAATTTTCACACGTCAGAATTTTAAAGTTACAACCATGCATGGAATCTCATTTCTAAGTGCAAGTATTCGCAAGTTAGATGTTCATAAATTGGGGACCCCCTGTACACTGTCAGTTAGGGCTGAAGTCCCTCCATGATAATCAGCTCATGAGAAGTCTCAGTCATATGCAGTACAGCTTGTTGTTGCTAGAAATACTTAGTATTAGTGATGAATTCTGACCGTGCCACCATACCAACCCAGGTGAGACATTGTTGGCATGAGCCAATCTTGACCAGGACAAATAAGTGGGATTGAACTCAAATGGAAACTCAACTCAAAAGGCCACCTTTGTTGTTGCATCCTTGCCCCATGACAGCCTCAAAGACAGATTGTGCAAACCTTTCACGGCATTGGAGCCAGGTTCTTGAGCTGCCCGTGAGGGCTGACATCCGCAGTCTTTTCTGTTCAGGCTGCCTTCATCAGTCAGGCTAACCTCTTATTTCCATCCTTAAGGAAAGAGATCTTTCCTTTCCACAAGGCCAGCTTTCAGGAGAACGTCCAGCAAAGCGGTGACAAAGCAAAGGTGCTACTCGTATGACCAGTCTCTCAAATCTCCAAGGGTTAGTGGGGCTGATGAGCAAAGGTTGAGTGATGCTCCTGGGGTACACATTGAAGCACTGCCCTGATTCCTTTTAAATACAACACCAACGCCATGTGAAACTTCAAAACTTACTATCCGTCAAATTTGGCATTTCACCCACACAAGTCAAGAACACAAATGTGTGAGGAAACCCACCTTGTCCATGAGCAGAACACCCCCTTGCTTTTCAGGTTTCACTATGACATTTGGTCTTGGAAGAGAAAATTCTGCCTAATACATGGAAATGGGCCTCAGTTACACCATCATAATCTCAGGATTGAATTTGATCCTTTCAAAGCAAAGAAAGAATGTCAGTGCCTTTGCTAAATTGTCACGGAGGAACATTTTGCCTCTCAAAAGATTCAAACAAGTTTAAATTTAATAAAGAATCTTCTCAACCGAGCTCATCTTTTAGTTACTCAAGTTTCTTTGGAATGAGAAGTTAAACTACACAAGATGTGGCATTCTTGTGGCTCAGTTATAGAATTCAACACCAAAATGTTTCCTGGGAGTTAAAAATTCCTGCTGAACTTATTGATCAGAAATTATTGACCAAAACTTTGCCAGATATATCTGACAAATCTAAAGCTAAGTCTTATTGTCTTACCTGTTGATTTAATTCAACATGTGGTTGGGAAAGCAGAATTTTCACTATTCCTAGATTTAAAAAAAAGTTAATCAAGAATACACAAAATTACTGCAAGAACCTTCAATTTCAGCCTAAGAGATTTAGTGCCAAGTGGCAGAACCAAAAAATGTTAATGTTCATAAGGCTTAAGTTCAGATAACTAAAACCGTGCTGTTTACTGGCACTAAAACACTAGCAACATTTCTACGTGTTGTTTATCTGATGTCATTGCACTTTTAACTAATTATTTAATGCTGAATGGTAAGATTTCCAAGTTGAAGTTCCAGTTCTACTCCCCAGATCCTGCTAACGAGCCTGGCTAAACAGCGCCCAACATTACCAAAATCTGCCCTAGCTCAGGTATAACATTATTCGATCTGTCATTAAGGTTAACCTAATTAATTACAACCTATGAGGAAATCTTCAGCTCATTACCAGCTCAACTACTGAATATTTCTATAGAATGCAAGGCATTTTATAAACTTACGGTAATACTATACTCAAAATATAACGGGAAATAGTTTTTGAAATCCTACGAAAAAATTGTTAGGAGTATATTTTCATTCATCTCTATGCACCAAATTTGTTTCACTACTAATCTGTCAATCTATTTGCCAACGTTTCTACGCACTTAAGGAGTTTAGGACAAGGGCTGACATTCAGGCTTTTAAGGACCTGCTACAAAATTATAAAGTGACTGAACTCAAGAGTACGTATTCTACGTTTTGATTAGATTAACTTTCAGTGACGTTGTAGATAACTAAAAATTTTATATTTAGATATTTAAAGATATGTGTACTTCTATTTAAAACAGTCAGATTTTTCCATAATAACAGTGAGATAGATGACAGACTCAGTTATAACCAGGTAAATGTACATGTTAAATGCAAAAACGTTGATGCTGTGGTCCAAGGTAATCTGCTCCTTGGTTTCGGAGTACTGTTTGCAATCCTCGATGATAAACTATTTAGGAAATTAATACAATAACATGAGCTTTCCCAATAAAAGCTGGAAAAGTTAGGCTGAGAGAGTGAGTTTTAAGAACATGCTTGTGATAAATATTCTGAAATAACCTCTCTGGCCCCAAAAGGTGAAGTCTCATTCCTTCAGAAGATGATTAGGTCTGGTTACACTTCTTGGTCGAAGCTTCAATCTTGGAGAACTGTGCTGTTTTGACTTCCTCAAAAACCCCACTGATCCTTTGTGAGCAAAGCTGCACTGGATCAAATGTCAGAGAAGAGCAAGTTTCCTTTACAAATGCTGCAAAAACCCTGCGGACAGTAGTCAGCAAACTGAATGGCAAGCTGTACTATTCTACAGCTCACACAAAATATAGGCCATTATTCCAAACCTAAGTTGACACTGCATATTTATTTTTTATTTGCTTTATTTTAGATTGTTGGAGACAAGATCTACTTGATAGCACAATATTCCTTAACTTCTTACTTTCCACTAAGGCACAACAGTTGGTTTGTTAAAGAACAACTTTAAATTTAAGCATTAACTCCATCTCCCAAAACAATGGTGCATTTGGTTCAGAGGAGGGAGTTAAAATATGAAACAGGAACCTATCCCACCTACATCCTGATTGAACTGTGGTTGAGGAAGGAGCAAACAGGCTGTAACCTTTAGGTCTTGCATCCTGTAGGCTATATTTTTATATATGCTTAAGTTGAGTGATAATGCTGTTATACAAATGAAGTGTGATGCTGTTTAGAATTAAGAAAATCTCTTCACTTCAATCAACACCACCAAAAATAATTTGATCATTGTTATAGTATTTGTGGGACTGTGCCATTTGCAAAATCATTGTCACATTTACCTTGAAATCTCCACCAGTCAGTCAAAGAGAAACTGCATGTTTTCATTTTAATAAGATCCAATTAATCCAGATTGACTGAGATCCCAAGGCTTGCCATAACTTAATGTACAGTAATTGATATGAAAGCAGCAATCATCTGTAATTCTCTACATTCATATATAGCAAAAATAAAGTATTTAGCACTAAAGAGTTGCAAACAAAGAGTATATTTCCTTCATATGTATTCTTAAAGATATACTTGCTCATTAGTAATAGGATCTGCCTTATTAATTTCAAAAGGACTGAGTCTGACAACCAAGCATCCCTCCAAAGCAGATACTGGAATTCTGTGAATTTTAATAAAGGAAAGTTGCTTGTTAAACACACTGTGCTTCACCACTCAGCATGCTTTCATCTGAACTGAATAACTTGCTCAGTGCTCAACCAAACTGCCCTGCAACCAACAGAACAGTGCAATTTTGCATTGAATTAATCTGGGACATAATATGTGAATAGTCTTTCAATCTCTTCTGTACTCTCTCAGAATTAAACTTTAGCTTGATACTGACATATTAAAGACTAAATTCTATTATTTCCCTAACAGCTGCATTGCTCAAAATTTAACCCAAGGACTTAGCTAATAGTTTGTCAGAAGTTCAATGTTGTACATGATAGCGCTTTTAACTCCACCAGAACAACACACACACACACCCCCCACCCCATGTTTTCTGATTCAATGTTAGTATTAATTTCAGGAGATCTCAAATTAGTTGTTTTTGCCATGCTATCACACGATCAAACGTGACAACAATTTTGCAATCCCACAAATAACAGAACAATGATAACTTTAAAAAACAGTATTATCCATTAACACAAACATTAAAAAAAGCGTACATGATGCAAAAGAGAGCAGACAGGCAGATAAACAGTATGATCCCAATGTTGTGTGCTCCTTCTGCTTCACAAAACAAATTCATTAACTGCAAATTTGGAATGCAACTTGGAAATTAAAAATAATGTAACAAGTTTCACATAATTATGACAACAAGGTGCAGGGCTGGATGAACACAGCAGGCCAAGCAGCATCATAGGAGCAGAGAGGCTGACGTTTCGGGCCTAGACCCTTCATCAGAAAAGGGGGAGGGGAAGGGGGTTTTGAAATAAATAGGGAGAGAGTGGGAGGCGGATAGAAGAGGGATAGAGGAGAGGATAGGTGGACAGGAAACAAACAGGTCGAAGAGGCGGGGATGGGGCCAGGAAAGGTGAGTGTAGGTAGGGAGTTAGGAAGGGGATAGGTCAGTCCAGGGAGGACGGACAGGTCAAGGGGGCGGGATGAGGTTGGTCGGTAGGAGATGGAGGTGCGGCTTGAGGTGGGAGGAGGGGATAGGTGGGAGGAAGAACAGGTTAGGGAGGCAGGGACGAGCTGGACTGGTTTTGGGATGCGGTGGGGGGAGGGGAGATTTTGAAACTTGTGAAATCCACATTGATACCATTGGGCTGCAGGGTTCCCAAGCGGAATATGAGTTGCTGTTCCTGCAACCTTCGGGTGGCATCGTTGTGGCACTGCAGGAGGCCCAGGATGGACATGTCGTCTGAGGAATGGGAGGGGGAGTTGAAATGGTT